CTCTACCACTGAGCCACCTTCCCAGCCACTTATCTTAGTTTGTAAGAACATGAAACATGTACATTGTGGAAACAACCAACAGGAGCAACGCAAAAATGAAATGAATATTACCTCTATTCTCACAACCAACAATATTCGGTGATGACCTTTGCTTTACAACATCCAAGGTTTGTTGAGGTCTCTGAGAAACTCTCTAACTCTCTTTATGATTTCTCACATCTTAGTAATGTGTGTAAAGAAATCCACCCAAACTATATTTTCTTCTAGTGTTATGAAGTTTCCTTTTTGCTTTCCGAATTATTTTGATATTAACCTCTCCTTCCACAGAATAACAGTGAAGCCAACACTACACATATCAAATGGCCCATTCAATGTTCAGAAATATTTCTGATCATATTTTAACTTAGACATAATATAACAGTATGTCATGCAGGACTTGTAGGTGGTCAACAAATAAGCCCAGTACAACAATATTCCTAAAAAAGGCCCATTACAGACTGAAACCCAGCCAAGATTCCTGTCAGCCAAACCAGTGGAGCCTATGAGTCTGGAGAAAGAGAATCTTTTCTAATTACAAAACCATTCCTCAGCTCCTAACCACACACCTAAGAGCTTGCTTGCAAGGGACAGATACAGGGTCTCTAACTGCACAAAGGCTCAATATATATATAGACACTAGTGACTTTTATGTGTCAGCGTAGAGAGCATGATCAAGTACTTAAGCCTATAATTCTTTTTAAATACCTACTAGGGAAATTCTCTTCCATTCTTTCTTCCTACCTTCAAAAGTTTCATCATGGGCTGGGATGTAGCTCAGTGGCAAAGCGCTTGCCTGGCAAGTGCAACGTCCTGGGTTCGATCCCCAGTACCAAAAAAAAAGAAAAGACGAAAAGACAAAAGTTTCATCATAATCTTTCCAGACTATCTTTCCAAATGAACTTTGGAATCAAGTTTTTCTTATCATGCCTTTCTCTTTCTACCTTTGACCCAAAACTCTCCTGTTAGAATTATGTTAAATTATGTATCAATTTACTTAAACACATTTCATTCTTTTTTTATTCTTCTGATCCTGAAAAGGGATGTTTTTCTATCATGAAAAGATGTAGCTTATGTGCCTTTCATATTACATCTTTATCCTCCATCTATTAAATCATTTTAGCTTCCAGATTCTGGGGCTTGAACTCAGGACCTCAAGCTCTAATGTCACTTCCCCTCACCCCAACCCCTACTACCATTGAGCCACATCTTCAGTTATAGATTTGTTTGCTGTTTAGTTGGAGATAAGAGTCTCTT